CTGAGAAGTGAATTAATGAATGGATGGATGGATGAATGAATGAATGAAAGAATAAAATAGAGATGTCAATGAATGGTACCATTGTTTCATAACAACATCTTGGGTTACGATAATTGCTACAATGTCCATCTAATGATCTCAATCATAATTAGAACGAATCAATGATCACATTTCTATTAATGATATTTAGATACTTTAATTATTAATGTATTTGTTGTGTTTTTTAGGGTTCAGTGGCCAAAAAGCCTTACAATCCCATCCTAGGGGAAACATTTCGTTGTTTTTGGATTTTACCTGAATGTGCAGCTAAAAGAGACAAGGTATTTTATGTAATCTTTCTGAAGTCATCACAATAAATAGCATTTCAAAAAGCAGCATAGTTACCATGGTTTGTTGTGCAATAATTCATGATTGCCATCTAGGCAAGCTTTACATTCATTTATTTTATGATGTCTATGTGCAGGTCCCTGTGACTGATGGCCCCGTCCCATGGGCATCCAAAGACGATGTTACTTTTGTTGCTGAACAGGTGTCACATCATCCTCCAAGTGAGTTTGTTTATTGATAAACAAGGTTGTCTGACTTAATGATTGTCAAACTGTTATTGCTTGTAGCAAAATTTGGTTGATCACAGTTGAATGTCTGAAAAAAACCCTCAAAATTGCTTAAAGTTTGAACATGTATTTGTCAACGATTGATTTTATAGAGGGATGGAGTCATGAATTGGCTGATTAATTGATGCATTGATAAGTTAATTGATACATTGTTTGATAGTTTGATGGATTGATTCAATGACCTATGCATTGATTGTTAGGTTGATTGATAGGTTGATTGATAGGTTGATTGATAGGTTGATTGATAGGTTGATTGATGGGTTGATTGATGGGTTGATTGATTGATGGGTTGATTGATGGGTTGATTGATTGATAGGTTGATTGATGGGTTGATTGATAGGTTGATTGCTTGATAGGTTGATTGCTTGATAGGTTGATTGATGGGTTGATTGATTGATAGGTTGATTGATAGGTTGATTGATGGGTTGATTGATAGGTTGATTGATAGGTTGATTGATGGGTTGATTGATGGGTTGATTGATAGGTTGATTGATTGATGGGTTGATTGATATGTTGGTTGATTGATGGGTTGATTGATTGGTGCATTGATTGATAGGTTGATAGATTGGTGGATTGATTGATAGGTTGATGGATTGATTGGCTGATTAATTTATAAGTTGATTTATTGGCACATGTGATTTATTGATTAATCAATTGACTGATTGATGGTGCATTGAATGTGTTTCTGTGGTGGGACAAGTGATTTGATTACATTTTGTTTTGACAATATGACTAGCTAATTGACCATTAGCTTGATTTATAACATAAAGTTGTGATTTGTTTCAGTATCAGCCTTGTATGCTGAGAACAGATCCAAGCAAATATCATTTGGTGCCCATATTTGGACCAAATCCAAGTTTCTTGGTTTGTCTATAGGAGTAGAGAATGTAGGACAAGGTTGTGTATCAGTTTTACCATATGATGAAGAATACATATTGACATTTCCTAATGGCTATGCAAGGTATTATGTGGTAATTGATTTTTATGGTGTTATTCTTATGTTTATTTACTACTTATAGTCATGTGTGTCTTTAAAAGAATGTTATATGGTTTATGAAAGACAGCAGGGATGCTTTTCCTCCCGTTTAGAGGTTGAAATCAAATGCTTCTGTCCTTCTTATAATGYGAGAGAAGGAAATGCTCACCACCATAGTTTTTTGTAGTTTAGACGGTTAAAATCAACAACAATGATAGCTAGGATTAGTTGATGTTTGCATTGCACGGGTGGATCCAGTAATAAGTGGGGTCATCGACAAAAATGACGGGAAAATTTTCGCGGGAATTTGCCTTTGCTCCCTCAAATTGAAAGTGCAAATGATAAATAAAACATGTGCAAATTGTTTTGAGAGTTTTTTTTTCGATGTTTTCTTGTTGCCTTTTTTTAGTTTTTTAGGGTTTTTTTAACCTTTCTGACCTCCAGACTATAACAGACCAATAAATTATGATAATAATAACCTTATTTTAGATCAATATTAACAATACCATGGATAGAAATTGGTGGAAAATGTACATTAACTTGTGCTAAGACTGGTTACTATTCYACAGTACAGTTCCATTGTGTGGTAAGTCCATACTTGTTACAATATTCTTAATATTTTTAGTGTCAAATTCCAGAAAACGTTTGAATAAATATATTCCAGTTAGAATCTGACTGATGATTTTATCCCTTAGTGGATGTAAAGAGAGAAGGGGATATAAAATAATATTGACTGATTTCATTTTCAGCCTTTTTATGGCGGGAAGAAACACAGGATATCGTGTGAAGTCATGTAAGTTACATATTATTGGATAAGTCATGTAAGT